GGCCCAACTGTATCGATGATTAATAGACCTGCCCTTAATCAAACCCTGAATGGTTTCTATTGTTAAAACTTTATGAATTGATAATTAGAACACGTAGCCCCTCTCCCATTTACTTGCATGTATCACATTTTCAATAAAAAGGCACTATGATTCCTAACAGTTGTCACTCCTCAGAGAGCAATCTCTGGGAGTGTCCGGCTGAGGACATGCATGAAAAGCAACGAGACCTTAGTCTTCCTTTCTTTCCAGCGTCTCCTCCGTTGAGCCATCCCACCCCCGCCGAGGCTGGTCCTCAGCAAGAATGAAATGTTATAATAATTAGAATAATTTGGGGGCCAGCAGATGATGTAGTGGTTAGGGCACTGGACTCCCACATGGCTGATCATGGTTTCAGTCCTGGACCCAGTGACGTGAAACTCAGGCCAGGTGTGAATGTGTGTGTGCCCCAAATCCCAAGAGGAGAATGGAGGAGACGGGACTGTAGTGTGGCCAACTCCCCAAGGGGTGATTTCTCACTTTTTGTCTCTCTGGAGAACGCATATGCCTATAGCAAAAATCTCTCTTAAAAAACAAACAAAACAAAAGAAAACCCTAAACACTGGAGAAGACATCTATAAGAATTTTGCTATCTTGGGACCAGCAGTTGGCGTAATGGCTATGTCACTGGACTCCCATGTAGTCAATTGTGGTCTGAGTCCCGGATCCAGTAGCTTAAACTCATGCCGGGCACATGTATGTGCATGCTCAAGATCCCAAGAGAAGAATGGAGGAGAAGGGATTGTGACGTGGCCATCCCCCCTGGGGGGTGATTTCTCGCTTTCTGTCTCTCTGTCTCTGGCGAGTGCATGTGCCCTATAGCAAAAACCTCTCCAAAAAATAAAAAAAGAAAGAAAGAATTTTGCTGTCTGGCTCAGCTGTGGAGGCAGTGGCAACACAATGCTCTGCAGTGCTGGAAACCATACGGAAGATTGGGGTTTGGTTCCCAGGTCAAGGTGCACATGCTAGGTGTGCACACACACAGCGTGATCCAGCTGGCTGAAAGGTTGGCAGCAGTGGGTGGATGACACCCTAGGACTGTTGAAGGTGCTTGCATTCCCCTGTCTTTCTCTGCTCCTCTCTCATCAGAGAAAGAAATAGGGCTGACCCCATAACCATAGCACGGTGCTAAGTGCTGTGTGTAGAGAACTGGATTCCCCACGGCTGACCATGGTTTGAGTCCTGGCCCTGGTGGCTTGGGAAACATGCTGGGAATGTATGCATGTACCCAGAATTTTGATAGGATGGAGAAAGAGAGGAAAAAAGATTGTGGATCAAGCCCCATTTGGGGGTACTTTCTATTTGGTGAGCACACATGCCCTCTAGCAAAAGAAAAAGGACCGGGAACCAGCAGTTAGCGTAATGGCTATGTCGCTGGACTCCCACGTGGTCGACCGCGGTTCGTGTCCCAGACCCGGTGGCTTACAACTCACGCCGGGCGCGTGTGCGTGCGTGCCCAAGATCCCGAGAGGAGAATGGAGGAGAAGGGATTGCGGCGTGACCATCCCCCCTGGGGGTGATTTCTCGCTTTCTGTCTCTATGTCTCTCTCTGTCTGTCTGGCGAGCGCACGCGCACTACAGTGAAAATCTCTCCAAAAAAAAAAAAAAGAAAAAGAAAAAGGACCATCGGATGGCCTGCAGTTAAGGCAGCTGAATCCCGTATGGCCGACAGCACAGTTCAAGTACTGACCCGGCAACTTGAAAAACATGCCAAGTGCATTTGTGGGCATGTCCCAAATCGTAACAGGATGGAGAGATGGGGAGGGGATGGCAGCATGACTATGCCACATGTGGGGTGCTTCCTCCCTCCTCTGGCAAAATAAAATAAAATAAATAAACAAAGACAAAAGTCAACAAACTACAGTCCTTGGGCTGTATGTTTTTTCACAAGGTTGAAAATGGTTTGTACATGTTCCCATTGCTACATTTATTTTTATTTTTCTTAAGAGAGGGCTTTCTGCCATGGGGCGCATGCATTCACCAGAGACACACAGAGAGACAGAAAGCGAGAAATCACCTCCCACGGGAGATGGCCACACAGATCTCTTCTCTAGTCTCCTCTCAGGATTTTGGGCACGCATGGACACACACACAGTGTGAGTTTTAAGCTGCCAGGTCTGGGATTTGAACCATGGTCTACTATGTGGGAGTTCAGCAACGTCACCATGATGCCATCTGCTGGCCCCCAAGTTACCTTTAATAGTTATATAATACTTGCATAACATTCCAGTTTGCCTCTTGGCTTGCAAAGCATAAAATATTTACTGACTCTTTAAGAACAAGTTTGCTAACTTCTGTGGTAGGCAATGAAAATATCCGAGGATCATTAATTTGTTTACCTTTCAAAGAAACAGTAATTATTATGGGCAATTAGAAGTGCCTACTATGGAAGCTGGCAGGTGGCATGGTGGTTAAAGGCACTGGAATCCCACATGGCTGACTGGGACTCAAGTCCCGGACCGGGTGGCTTACTTTCTCACTTTCCCCTTGTCCCTCTTTCTCTGGTCAAATTAAATAACAAATAGAATTACATAAATAATTATTTAAAAAAACAAGTGCCTCCTATGAGGGCCAGCAGATGACATGAGGGTGAAGGTCGCTAGATCCCACATATAACTACACGTCGAGTCCTGGACCTGGCGGCTTGAAAATCATGCTGGGCTGTGTCCACACAGGCCCCAAATCCCGAGGGGAGTGGAAGAGAAGGGATTCCACTGGCCGTCCTCTGTAGGGGCGGTTTCTCACTCCCTCTCTCCCTGTCTCTGTCCAGCCAGTCCCACTTTAAAGATGAGGACATGGAGTTTTGGAGAGCTCGGGTCCGCATCAGAGCCAGAACTCAAGCCCAGGTCTGTCTAGCCCCCATCCATAAGCTACTTTTTGTCAATGGTTTATGAAGTAGAGGCCATAAACCCCAGGAGCACAGGACAAGCCATGGCGCAGACTGTGGGAGAGCCCTTTTCATGGCACATATATATTTAAAAATTTATATTTCAGCTCATCCTTCAGATACGTTTACTTTTGTATACGTTTATTATTATAATACATAGTAAATCAGCTAAAATTAGCCTAATCAGTAGCCAGTAAATAATTTTTGTTTTTGCCCATAGAGCCTGTGAACTGTGAGAGAGAGACAGAGATAGTGAGGGGGAAAGTGAGAAATCACCCCCCAGGGGGATGGCCACACCACACTCCCTTCTCCTCCATTTCCCTGGATTTTGGATATGCCCAGCAGATACTCAAAAACTGCCAGATCTGGGACTTGAACCATGGTTGACCATGTGGGAGTTCAGCACCTTAACCCACACCACCTGATAGACGATTTTTAAGCTGCTTTATATATCGTTCCCTGTCCTCCTCCCGAGCTCAGAACTGCGAGGTGGAGGGATCAGAGGCCAACTGAATGTGAGCTTCATCCCAGAGAGCCATGGAAGAACCTGGCGTGGGTGTGGTGTGGCAGTCTTGGGGTTCCGAAGCCCCAATCCCAGAATCAGACATGTCACGGACCTGTCACAGGTACCCCTGAAAGGCACGAGCCTCTCCCACCACCAGGGGGCCGAGGACAAATGAGTTCTCTGGACGTCAGCCCTGACTAGGAGGGACAGGCTGAGCTCTGCGTGCCTGGGTCCTGCTTCCCCACATATCAGCCCTCCAGGGAATTCCTTCTTCTTGAGGGTTGGACTGCTAGTTTTTGTTTTGTCGTTGCTATAGGGCATGTGTGCTTGCCAGAGACAGAGGGGCAAAGTGAGAAATCATCCCCTGGGTGGGGGGATTGCCATGCCACAGTCCCTTCTCCATTCTCCTCTAAGGACTTCAGGCACGCAAGATCACCACCTGGCGTTTCTGAAGCTGCCCGGTGCAGGACTCAAACTGCAGTCGGCCAAGTGGGATCTAGCTGCTTCAGCTATCGTACCACCTGTAGCCCCTATTCAACAATTTCTAGTTTCTTACACGAAACATCGCGCCTACTATCGCTACTCTGTGACGCTCGTGGTCACATTCATGTGAGAAGCCCAATGTAAACAACCCCCTCATTCACACTGTGTATTATGGAAAGAGACTGTTTAACACAGCAGTCCTCAAACTAAGATGGCCACAGAACAGTTACTTCAGAGACCTATTGAAATCTGTTCTGGAAAGCACTTCGGGAAATGCCGAGTGGGAAGATTACAGATTTGGAAACCTGTTATGGTAAGAGGCTTTGGATTTAGTTCATCTTTAGTAGCTGTCACCCTGGGGAAAATGCTTACTCTTGAGTATTCATTTCCTCATCTACAAAATGACTCTAGTAAGTCTCCTACCTAGGACTGCAGTAAAATGAAGAGATAAAAACATCTCTAAGGTGTCCAACTGATAGCATGTATTCAACAAAAGCTAAGTAACCCCCACCCTTTCTTGAGAGACAGAGATGCAGACAGAAGTGAGAAATCACACCCCAGGGGGATGGCCATGCTGCCATCTCTCTTCCTCCATTTTCTTCTCAGGATTTGGGGTACACATGCACACACACATGCCTGGCATGAGTTTCAAGCTGCCAGATCCAGGACCTGAACCATGGTCGACTATGTGGGAGTCCAGCGATGCAACCACTGAGCCATCTGCCAGTTCCATCTTTCTGTTCTTTGCTGCTATGTACCCTGTCTTTAAGAAATAAAAGCCTGGGACCAGTAGTTAGCGTAAAGGCTATGTCGCTGGACTCCCATGTAGTCGACCATGGTTCAAGTGCTGGACCTGGTGGCTTAAACTCATGCCGGGTGCGTGTGCGTGCGTGCGTGCGTGCGTGCCCAAGATCCCGAGAGGAGAATGGAGAAGGGATTGCGGTGTGGCCATCCCTCCTGGGGGGTGATTTCTCGCTTTCTGTCTTTCTGGCGAGCGCAGGTGCCCTATAGCAAAAACCTCTCCAATCAATCAATCAATCAATCAATCAATCAATAAAAGCCATAGACACCAGATCTTCACAATGAAGCTTGAAACCAGTCAAGCACATCATTTTATTTAAAAAAAGAGAGAGAGAGAGAGAGAGAGAGAGAGAAAGTCTATTGGTAAAGTACATGGTCTACACATGCTATGGCTGGTGGCCATCACCCGGCCCTCACATTGTATATCCTCATGTCCGGGTTGAAACAAAAACCACCACCAGAATGTGCCAGCCTGCCAAGAGGCTGTGGGCAGTGCCGAGATGCCCAGGTCTCTGGCGTCCTCCATGGCACAGATGCGAGGTGGTGGCTGCCACCAGAGCACACTGCTCCTGGGGGGTGTAGAGGGCTGCGATGAGGTGGCTCCCTGAAGCAGGGAATGTGGGCACAGCTAAGGTGACCACAGTTCGCCCTGTGTGTGAAAGGGGTGCTAACAACACGGGCGCAAAGGCAGGACCAGGCAGGCGCTGGTCGAACGTGGGCACCTTCGTTGTAGTGTGATCGTATTGCTGGGTAGGCCTGGCGAGGCCACCTCCTAGGTGTACAGGTCTGAAAGTGAAGGTGACCGGTGTGACACTGTGTGGCCTCTCTAGGGGCCAGAGGTTTAGCCCTTCATTTTCGATTGAGCTCGAAGGCTGACCGCGGAGTAGAGAACAGGGAGGATGGAATTCGGAAACGGGAGCTCGGTACCTGGGCAGGAGAGCACCAGGCGCAGGGTGTGACCTTCCTGAGCCAGCAGGCAGGCAGCTCAGCCCAGCTGGTGGCTCCAAGTGATGAGGGCTGTGACGCTTCCTGGTTCTGACCCTGCAGCTGTACAGCTCTACCTGGGACACTCATGGCCGTGGGCTGTCTAGACCTCAGAACCCCACCCGGTTAGAAGCAATGCTCCTAGGCTGAGGGAGGGCACCCTGCACTCTCAGACCTCAATGCAAACTGGTTTCCCATTCCTGGGGGGAACGCGTCCAATAGTTCATAGCTTGGCGGTGGCACAGAAATTCAGTCTGTGGGTCTGGGGACAAGACTACCATGCACGCCTCAGGCCATTAGGTGCCCACTGCCACAGGACAGAGGGTGGAGCAAGGCCTCCTGGGGAAAGCTAAGCCCAACACTTAGACCCTGGGGCACAATGAAAAGCCGGGGTCCCAGCCGTTCCTGTCGTTGGTGCAAGTGGCCAGCCATCTGAGGGCAGGAGCAGTTTCTCCTCTCTCGGTGCTGAGTACTTGGCAGAGCTAATAAATACGACTATCCCGTCCTCGGCCCCAGTTCCTTCCCAGTCCTGGGGAGACTCGGTCCCTGCTCCGTCCCATGGCAGGTGTGTCCTCCCACCTGGTGCTGTCCCTGGTGGGCTCAGGTGTGATGATTTAAGGCCAGCTTCACCTTGGGGTGGTCAACAGGAGGGGTCTTGTGGTAGAGGCTTCAGATGAGGCCACTAAGCCTGGGGGGGCTGTGGCATTAAAGTGGCTCCCACTGGAGCTTGGTCCCATCAAGCCTCAGCCTGGGACACGGTGTCCCCCCACCCAGCAGCATGGAGAGCCCCAGAGCACAGGCCTGTTTCACCAGGTTTTCAAAGCCGTGGTGGCGCCAGAGCTGTACCTTGGCCCCAGGGTCTAAGACAAAGCAGTTACCACGCAGTGGGCAGGGATGCCTAAATTCGGGAGGAAGGTTACCCAGTCCCTGGACTTCCCGTGCACTCTTCACTGCTGACCGCCACGGGGCTGAGGAGAAAAACACCCCTGGGTCTGGGCCCAGTTTGGCTGGCCATGAGACTTCACCCTAGGAAGCTCAATTTTATCACTACAGATCGGGGCTGACCCTCTCCCCCTTGTCAGGAGGCCTAATTAAAGGAGGGGGTGCATTTAAGTGCCGTGGCCCGGCCTGGCTTGCGCCACAGTTATTAAGATGGCCTTACGATGGCCCTGGATGTTTTCAGAGCCGTGACTCCAGGGCAGACTTGCAAATGCTCCACTCGCTGTTCAGAGGGGCGCCCACAGGCCCAGACGGTGTAAACCTCGGTCTCAACCAGCCTAGGACGCATCAAGACTTGTCTACCAGCGCAGCAAGGAGCTGGGCCGGGAGTCCTCCTGCCAGACGTGCCCCGAGGAAAGGACAGCAGACTTCGTATCCACAGTCCACATCGTCACCACCACAGGAAAAACGGCAGATGTTTTCACTTGCAAGAGAGCGCCCTGCCCAGGGGGAAGGTGGAGCTGGGCCTTTCTCACCCAGCTGACCCCTGGTGAAGGGACCAAGGCAAAGGACAAACCCAAGCGCTTCACCCTCAGGGATGCACCCCACGCACCGCGGTCTACTCGGCGCCCAGCATGCAGCGGACGCTCAAGAAATGCTTCGAAGGGCCAGTGAACACCGAAAACTCATTGGAGAAAAAAATTAAAAAATTACGTCTTTCGAAATGTAGTAAAATCCTGCAAAACAGTTTCACAAAAACTGTTTAGACCTAAGTGGATCAAAACCTCAGAAAACCATGCTATGGGGCCTCCTCCCATGTGGGGAGACCTGGGGGAGGGGACCCTGTCCAGCCTCCCTTCCTTTCCAGGGTGCCATTTTCCCCTGAGGTGCTGGGCACAGGGCCAAGGGCAGCAGGCCCCGCCCCAGGATTTGCAGGTCAGCTGGAGAGGGCTTCAGGTGCTGCTGAGGGTCAGAGGCACCCCTTCTCCTGTGGGAGCAGCCAGAGCCCACGTGGCAGGGCCAAGGCTGAGGGAGAGAGGAGGGCCATCTGCACGAAATCTTTGGCACTGCAGGTGGAAGAGAAGCAGTCCCGGGAAGGTCAGGAATTTGAAGGTCGCTTGGTGGTTCTGAGAGCACCTCAGCAGGTGAGCCCTGAATCAGAGCTTGGGGGCACGGTGGGAAGAGGCCTGCGAGCAGGAGCTCTGGGTGGGCAGCTGGAAGCCTTGGCTTTTGATTTTAGTTTAGCAATGACAGAGCAGTGACTCTGTACCTCAGTGACCCACACTGGTCAAATGAGTGGAAGGGCTGCCCTGGGGCCCTCCCAGGGAAAAAACAGAGAGGAGAGTGCATGGAAAACAAAACAAAACAAAACAAAACACAAAAGACCAAGCAAACAAAATAACTCGGCTCTACAAATGCCAAAGGGGAGCAGGAGGCAGAGGCGGAGAGGGACAGGAGGTGTCTGCCTGGTCCTTGGGTCCCTGTCCTGTGGGGCTACCTCACACCATACCTGGTGTGCCGGAGATGCAGCTGCTGGTCCTCAAGCCACGTCAGCTGCTTGTGCTCCGTGCTATCTGTCTGCCTGTCCTGGGGGGTGGGCCCAGGAGAGGGGTAGTGCATAGGGCTCTGTGGCTAGCACAGGGCCTGGGCACCCCGACCGTGGGCAAGCACGCTGAGCACAGTCACGGATGCCCCCTCACCCACACCACAGGGACGCCACGTGGCCCCTGCTCCTGCACCCAGCTGCTCCTGTTCTTCACCGCCTGGTCTCCTCCTCCTGCAGGAAGAGCACCGGCACGGGGGTCAGGCAGACCTGGGCTCAGACTACCTGCTCCTAGTTAGCGCACCCTTGGGCACACTGAACCCGAGTGTCCTCATCTCTAAAGTGGGTATAAGAGTCCGAGGCGGGGTGGTGAGGGTAAACATACAGATGCCCAGTGCCAGGTACAGCATTTGGCACTTACACCCACTCAGCAAGGGCTGCTCACCGGGGCATGGCTTATATGCGGCCCCTTATTCAAACTAACTCAAGACTCACGCTAGGGACACAAAACAAAATACCCACGTGGGGCCAGGAATTCTTGGTTCACAACCCTGGGTGGAGAGGAGGCTGTGGCGGGACAGGGAAGGGTGCTCAGGCCTGGAGTGCGCCTCCAGAGCTGAGTCTGTTCACAAGGTAGGAGATGGAAGGCAGGCTGGCCGAAAGGACCCAGCCCACTCTGGGGCAGCTGCACCCAGCCGAACTTCAGAGGCCCATGGGTCTGGGGCCTCAGGGAGGAGGACGTGAGCCCTGGAACTGGCAATGAAGCTACTTCTACAGGATGGAGTTCCTTCTGTATCAGGCATTTTGGAAACAGAGTAAAGCCACCGGGCTTCTGGACACACAGAGAGCAAGTCGTCGGGACGGGATGGGCTGCCCCTTCCCGGGCTGTGTTTCCGCAGAGACTTTTCAAGCTCCTCCAGATGACACATTCTGGTCCCAGGGGTCATGGGGACTCACGGTCCCATGCTGGCTGGCAGTGCTCTGTCCAGGAGAAGGCGTTCTCTTAAGGCAGGGATGGAAGGAAAGCAAGCCTGTGGCTTCCAAGCCTCCAGGAATTCTGTGACTGGAGATCAGACCCGGGGCTCCCCAGGTCCCTGTGCAGCAAACTCGCCACCTGTGGGAGGGAAGAAACCACAGTACTCCAAAGCCCGCCTTCTTTTGAAGCTGCGTGAGAATGATAAATTAAGAGGCTTATTAAATATGTGGGAAGAGCCAGCAGGGACCAGGGCACCTCCGGGCAGGGCGGGAGACACCTATGGCTTCTTTCTGAGATAGTTGGAAGGAATCCAGCCTTCCCAGGATGGGGCCCCACTCAGGACCTGGCAGAACCACCAGCCGCTGCTGTTCTTTTCCCGGACTTCGAACACTGTCCCTTCCTGGAAGCTGCTGGTATCCGCATCTCCTTCAAAGTTGGCCACGGCCACGTACACAGAGTCCTTCAGGCCGTCGGCGTTGGGGCAGGAGGCTGCAGCCGCCTTCTCCCTGCTCTCTCCAATCTTACCAGTTCCCCTTGGCCCGAGGCCACCTTTGCCTCGCACCTCATCTTGGCCCCCAGGGGTGTGGGAGAGGAACGGTTTGGCTTTTGGAGGGACCAGCAGGGCACGGCCTGGGGTAGGAGCTACCTTGCTTTCGTTCACTTCACGCGGTGGCCCTCTGACCTCTGGCAGGGGCCTGGACGACGTGGTTTTCTTTGGGGGTGGAGGTCTCCGGGGTGGGACCACAGGTCTCTGCTGGGGTGCCTCTTGGAGAGGGGCGGGCATGTTCTTAGGCCCAGGATCTGTGGTCTTGGCTGGCCTTGGCGGGGTTCGGCTGGACATCTCCTTGGGGCTGAGCCCGTCCTGTCTGCCTGTCCTGTCCTGGGCCCGGCCAGGACCCTCCCCTGGGAGGATGCTTCGTCTAATGGCCATGTCTTGGCCCGCAACTGCCTGGTGGCCCTCCCCGTCCAGCGAGGCTCTCTCTTGGGACTTGGCAGGCCTGAGCTTACTCCGGAGGTTGCAGATGTCCACCGAGTCCTCGCCCTGAGAGGGCTCTGTCCGGGCAGAAGGAGCGGGTTTGGGCCTCACCTGGGGTCTGGACTTCAAGAAGGGATTCTGGGGAATGGCTTCTGGCTTCTCCTCTGGGGGGTCAGCTTTGGATCTGGAGATGGGCCGGAGGTTGGGCTTCTTCACTTCCCTGGCCAGCACCTTGTGGCCACACTCCAGGCCCATGTCATTTCTCAGCTGGAACATCTTGGTCTTGTCAGCTTTGGGCTCCAGCCTCCTGCTGTCCCGGGCTGGGGGTGTGTGTTTGGCCGGAATCATCGGCAGGATCACGCCGGGGGGCTTGGGCGAGGCACCCCGGAGCTGCCGCTCGCGCTCCAGCAGCTCCCCCTCCGACCTTATGATGGACTCCTTCCGCGGGGGCAGGCTGGGCTTCTCCTCCAGGTCGGGGTCCGAGATCTCCTCGTAGCCTGCGGACGCAGACATGTCCGAGGACGCCTTCCTCAGGGCTTCTTTGCCGCCCTTCCAGTCTCTGGACCACGGCACCCCGGAGTCCACAGCACCATGTGGTGCATCGGGCAGGGGCCGGGAGGGCCCGCCGGCTTCGCCACCTGCACCGTTCTCCGTGGCGGCCGCATCGCCCAGCCGGAGCTGCGCCACCTCATCGGGCAGAGGGGCCAGGAAGTTGGGTCTCGAGGCATTGCTGGTCTTCTTGTACTTGTCAATGAAGGTGGCCGGGGCCCACCCCTCCTTGTCTTCGATCTGAATGTACCACCAGCCGCTCAAGTTCTTCTCGATCACCTGGGCGGGAGCACAGAGGAGAGCACTTAGGGAGGAGGTCAGGGGAGCCCGTGTGCACTGCAGCTCTAGCTGCTGGGCCTGCACCCGCAGTCCGCTCTGCCGTCTACGGGAGAGCTCACTGGGTGTCAGGGATATCGCGTGTGGGGAGTCCTGGTCCAATATATGTATTTTTTTCATTAGTTAATTAATTATTTTTTATTATTTCATTTGACCAGAGAGAGAGAG